ATGACGTTTTCAGAAGCCTATCTCTAACCGTTTCTGAGACGTCGTCCACCAAAAAACTCGAGGTAGCTACAGCCTCTATGCGTGGAATGAGAATAAATCTTATGGTCTAAAACGTCTTTAAAGCATGCGATACGACGATTTATGAAGTTTTCAGAAGCCTATCACTAGCCGTTTCTGAGATGTCTTCCACTAAAGAACTGATGAACACGACCGGTAAAGACTTCTCTGTGTGCAGAATCTGTGTGAGAGGCTTGTGATCGGTGATGAGGGTGAAGTGGCGAGCGTACAGATAATTGGAAAACTTCTGTACAGCTCACACGATGGCCAGCGCTTCTTTGTCGATCTGCGTGTACCTCTGCTCCGTTGCTGTCATCGTTCGGCTGCCGTAAGCGATTGGACGTTCTTCCCCGTTGCTAAGCCGGTGTGACAGTACTGCACCTAGGCCGGTGTTACTTTCGTCCGTGGCCAACAGGAGTGGTAACGCTGGATCATACTGCATGAGTACCTGGGGCGAGGTTAAGGCGTCCTTGATATCCTTGTATGCCCTGTCGCCCTCTGGTGTCCAGATGAGGGGATCCTTGAGCAGCATGTCCCTGAGTGGGCTGTCTCTGGTAGACAAATCAGAGATGAATGAGCTGTAATAGGTTGCTTTATCTAGGAACAGTTAGAGTTCTTCTGGTGTGGTTGGTTTCGGTGCATCACGTACAGCACGGATGTGCGCATCAGACTTGTGAATGCCTGATTTTGTGTCCTAGGGCTTCCAGGGATGTTCGAGCGAAAACGCACTTGGCTCGGTTGAGCTTGAGGTTGTGTTGCCGAAACCGCTCCAGGGTGGTGCTGAGAACCTGCATCAGATTTTCAAGGCTATTAGCAAAAACTATACTGTCGTCAAAAAAACTTATGACATTTGTGAGACCCTGCAGAACCGTGTCCCTTCGCCGCTGCCAGGTAGCGGAGATGTTAGCTGCTCCATAGACTGCTCGTGTTGGACGGATCAGACCATGAGTTGGGGTGTTCAGCGTGAGCGCGTGACTGAACTCACCATCGACCTCGAGATCTATGTGACCTTTTTTGCCACACTTCAGGCACTCGGCGTTGAGGAAGCTGCTCTGGCTGCGAGGGTGAGCTTCACCGTACCCTGCACATGTTGATTAGTTGTCTTGGGATGCGCTCTGGTTTCTCTGGTGTGCTCCTTGTTGCTGCCTGGTTTGGCTGGAAGACCCTTGGTTTCGATAAGCTGACTTGTTGCGTGATGGCCGCTGGTTAATGCTTTTCCTGGACAACGGTGTCTCATGTCCAATTCGATTAATTGATTCAGACTTAGCAGCAACTGTTTTGACCTCATCGGCAGTGGTGCGAGTAGATTGGAGAGCGTGTGCAATTTCATATGCCGCGGTGAACTTCTCTGGTTTCTTTGCAATACTCTCCGTGCACATTTCTCGTGATTCCAATCCTGCGAGCATTTTTTCGATTAACATGCGATCGAGGAATGTGCCGTACTCGCAAAACGTTGCAGCCTGACGCAGTCTCAAGGTGAAGCTAGCGATGGTCTCCCCTTGTTTCTGCATAACGCTCCGGAATTTGATGCTCTCAGCGAACTTGTTGTGGGTGGCGTCAAAGTGACCTGCCAGTTTATGTAGGATCTCGTTGTATGACAGAGTTCCTGGATCAGCGGGACTCACCAGGATCTTCAAAGCATCATTGGGTTCAAAACCCATGTAGACCCGTACAAAGTGTACGTGTTGATCCGCTGGTACTTTGCTCAGGTCGAGCGCCCATATGAATCGAGTGAAATAGTCGGCTACAGTCTTCCCGTCGGTTGCACGATACGGTTGCATTGAAAATTGTGGCGGTCGAGGCTCTGATGATGACGGTGTTGGCCCTACTGTCTGTAGAAGGGCGTCGGCGATGATTGCCGAGAATTGTTGGAGTCGCTCAGAAGTTAAGTCCGGCATGGTGAAGATGAGTGTAGAGAAGTTTTTCTAACACGCACTGCGATGAAAATAGTTCGGTGCACACACTTGCGTTGAAGTTAGAATGTTCACTCGGTTTCACAAAGTTATTTATCTTATCCCACTCCTGACACCACAGTTAAATCGTGGGGTAAAGATAAATAATAACCACTGTTATGAACAATTGTATTTATTTACAATGACACAGAGTCGATGAGAGAAAAACCAAGAAGACCGAGAGTGTGGTGAGCGGGCGTATATATACTAATGAAGAAAGTTCGGAGTGGAGGAAAGGAAAGTTCCAGAGGAATGTACTGGAACGTTCTAGAAACGGCGGAATATTCCATGCACGTGTTACTACATAACAACTGACGAAGTCCTTTTTGATGACTTCGCGAAGTTCAATAATTTTCCCAATAACCAGAGCTATCGAATTGGCGTCAAATTTTGCTTGTAAATAGATAATTGTTTTTACTTACTGCCTCGTTGCCGCGGAATGCCAAATACGCTTATTTTGCAAGTAAATGAACTCGATATCTGTTTTATGAATTTCAAGTAAGTGGACACGTTACAATCGATCATATGTATAAGAATAACTAAACTAATAATAATGAAAGATTAGTGTCTGAATTATTATAAAAAATAGTGACAACGTGATAACAGTGGTTTCCCACAGAACATTTCTCCGCTATTTTTGGAATAGAAAGGATGGATAACTCGTCTGCTACCACGAATGGACGTATCACATTTTGGCTCCCACGAAGTTTGCAAAAAAGGACTATTATTGGCACTTTTTAATAATGTAGGCGCGTATTCTATCGTTCATTTCATTCATTATATCATTTTATTTATTTACTAGCTGACCCGGCAGACTTCGTACTGCCTCAATCGATAAATAAATGACCTAAACTTTTGTATAAAATAAACTTAAAACAATCAAAAGGAATCCATAATTAATAAAAAAAAATTAATTTGTGACAAATAAGCTGAAAGATAGTTAACAANCAAAAGGAATTCATAATAAAAAAATATAATAATTTGTGACAAATAATCTGAACGATAGTTAATAACTTTCCTTTTTATTCAATTTAAAGCTTTCTGATAAAGTATATTTTTTGTTTTGTTTTGTGATGCGTAAATAAACAAAGATGATGGTTTTCCGACGCGCGAACACGCGACGTATAATTGTCCATGCGCGAAACATGGAAACCCAAGTTTATTCCTCAAATTTCCAACGACTGGCCTTGCGGTTTGTTTATGGTCATCGCAAAGGCCAGACATACTGGAAATTGTAAATGTTTAAAACGGAATGGTAAATCCGTTGGAATCATCGGTATACGCGGAATCAAAACATCCTCTCCTTTGTATTTTCCTTTAATGATTGTTGCCTCAATGACGTTATTCATCACCTTTTCACAGCCAGTCTTGTTCCATTGCACAGTCGAGGTTGATTACTGTTACGCAGCATGATGACAACTGATCCTACTTTTAACTTCAAATTGTGAGGTGGTAATCCAGGCAATTCCAGTGAATTTAAAAACTCCGTGGGATAGTTTACTTCGTTATCCTGGTTCATAACGGTGTCGACTGATTTGAAGGAAACCAACGAAGAAAATTCTGAATGGTCGCATTGAGATCCTCGACATCTTTATTTTTCGCCGCCAATATTGCTCGTTCACCCAGCCAATTATGGTTATTGAACTGTTGCTCTATATCTGGGAAAACACGCTGAATAAGCTCCTCTTTTGAGTCTGTGATGCGACAGAAATCTGTGGGTAATGTGATTAATCCGGTCGAGGTGTCCACTGCGACTTTAGTACTTCCAATGTCTAACAACTGATTCGCAAACACATTTGCAGTTTCATCTTGTTGCAAAAATACTCGCATGTCAGTTGTTAATTGGAGTGACTTTACGTATCGCCACAAATTCGATGATTGTAGGCATGCATTTGGTTCACCAGCAACAGTTGATCGAGGAATAAGTGGAAGAGTCTGACGAAAATCACCTGATAACAGAATCATGGCCCCCCCAAAAACATTTTGGCTGTCACGAAGATCTTTTAAAGTTCTGTCCAGTGCCTCCAGTGACCTCTTATGTGCCATTGTGCATTCATCCCAAACAATTAATTTGCATACCTGTAGGATCTTGGCCATTGCGCTATTTTTGGCGATGTTGCCAATTGGTGTTTCGTTGATTTGCATGTTTAATGGTAATTTCAAGGCAGAATGTGCAGTTCGCCCGCCTTCTAGCAGAGTCGCAGCTATTCCAGATGAAGCCAACGCTAGAGCTACATCATTTCGCGATCTGATCCTCGCCAAAAGCAATGAAATTAAGAACGTTTTTCCGGTTCCTCCGGGAGCATCAAGGAAATAAATTCCACCAGATTCTCTGTTCACAGCTTCTATCAAATTGGCGTACGCAATTCTTTGTTGTCGATTTAATTTTGGAACATTTGTACGAACTGTTTCGGCCAATGCTTCAATGTCGTACTGTTGTTCTCTTTGCAACTCGTGGTTTAATGCATCGTGCATACAACGATTGGGTGTGTCATTCCCAAACATGACAATACTTTATTTTCCATCAATAAACACATATATTCTATCGTGATCAATGTCTCATTGTAAATTTCTGCAGTCATTTGTAGCGTAGGATTCAGAGTTTGACGGCGCACACGATGCAAAACATCCTCAGACATGTCATCTCTATACTTAACCCACAAATCTTTTGGATTCGAGGGGAAACATGTCGATATGGTGTAATAGCGTGGCATGTCAGCATACAGCAAAGTGCGAGCAAAATCATCAGTTTTACAGACTGTGAAGAAACTTGTTAATGTTGTCGACGGTGGACGTGTCGCTCTGTCCAAGATAGAAGGATGCACTGTTTGTCTGAGGTATAGATCTACCTTATTATTCACCTTTTAAACCTTCCCTGGACTTCCACAAATAATTCAAGACCAAAATTAGCCAAATCGGTCCAGCCGTTATCGAATTTTAGCGTAACCAACGAACAACAATTCATTTTTATATATATAGATATGCACATATACTTCATATCATTCATTATTTTATGCACCTAATAAAGGGAATCAATCGTTTTAGTTATCCTTTCAGAAAAACGTAAAATTACCATGATATTTATCCAGTAGCATCAAATTTTCTGAATATGCCTAAATAACTTGATAATAAACACAATCTAAGGGTATCAAAAAAACTAATCGAAGAAAGTCGCAATATGCTGACTGTTTTATATTTAATACGGTGAATATGCTATAATTATATTTATTGAATACATTCAAGTTCGGCGGCAATTGTTTCATCTGGGGATATGGTTTGAATGGGTTGTTTCTCCGTGATTTTTATGATGAATTTTTTATTTGAGGATGGAGAAATTTTCGATGAGGAAGTTTGGGGTAATGGGGTCATTTCAATTTCTTCCACATTGTTTTGGGGATGTTTTCGTACAGGATGTAGGGTTGTGGGTTCTTCTCTTCGTTTTAAATTATATTTGACGAGATGAAACGCCTTATGAATAAGGAAGACTATTAGGCACGTGCAAATTGAGCTGAGTAGGACGTGAGGTGAAGGTTCTAAGCTTAATGATTGGCTCCCCACTGACGGGACATTTGCTGCTGCTGAAACCATCCATAATGAATCTTGTTCCCGTGTTGTTTGAAGCATATTTTCTTGCGTAACCTTTACATACCTTCGGGTGAATTTCATTGTATCTTCCGTCTTCTGGAACGTAGTTGATATTAGCTCGTCGCTTTTTCTTAAATTTTTCGAATTTTCGCTTATTCTTTTGATCGACGATGGAAGTCCTTTCGTAAGCAGTATGAGTTGCTGACTTAGCTGGTACAATTTTTAGTTTTTTGTGTGTGCTTTGCAGGGCGACGATATTTGCTTATTATATTGCCTCTTTTCCTCAGGAATGGATCGTTTTCCCTGAATTCCATGTCCTAAATTTGTGTCTCTTCCAGAGTGTTACAGTCCAAAGTTATTTCAAGGGGTTACTCAGGTTTAACGGTGTAGTCGACCGAAGAAGTTACTTTACGGAGAATTTCCTTCGTATTTTCATTATTTTGATCTTATTTCAGCGGTACATACATGGTATTCAGCTGGTTAGGCTCGTTTTTGCTCTTTTTATAGGGTTTTCGGCGATCTACCGTGTGACTCCATTGTTTAACGCTTCTGTACAGGATGATATATCTTCTTGCTCGTCGAATTTTAGGGCTGTTTTTGTTTTTTTATTTTATTGGGAAAATCGGTTAACGCATTATTTTTTGATAAAAAGTCGGTACCTAATATTATCGGCTTTGATAAATTATCCGCCACTAAAGCTGAAATATACCCTTGTAAATTACCTAATTTAATTGGGATGTCACTTGTACCTAAGGGTTGTATTTTGTTACCTTCCGCTGTTACTAAATTAAATGTATTATTAAGTGGAGTTATTTTATTTGCTAATGATTTATCGACTATGCATTTACTAGACCCCGTATCTAATAGAATATTAACAAATGAGTTGTTATTGACGCAACCTTTGACTTTTAATATGTTTTTTGTAAAATCCGATGTGCATAGGAGAAACTCATCGGGATATTTACTTGAGTCGTCCACTATAAAGGTGTATAATGTTGATTTATTTGTCGGCTTTGATTTTACGAATTTCGTTGTTGATTTCCCCTGTAACCATTTTCTCTGGACACATTTCCTCTTTGCACATTTTCTCCTCTGTTCCCATTTCCTTGGTATATCCTGTATTGATTTTGGTAATTTCCTTGAAAATTACCGATGGGTGTTGAAGACTGATAATAATTATTCGCGTTCCAGGGACAATGTTGTGGTGTTGAGGGTGGATTTCGATAGTTTTGCTGGAACCTTGACCGCATATTTCCTCTGCTGCCGGATGCGTGGTTTCTTGTATTTTCTTTAGATGATCTTCATCCATGGGTTGGGATTATTGTTAGAAGTGATGTTTGGATCGATTAAAACCCTTAACTTCGCTTAACCGTTCATCAAACGTTGTTATACCGTTACTAAATAGATAATAAGTTTCTGCAAATGATGAGTGCAGTCCATTCTCAAATTGGTCCCTAAATGTTTGGAAAGGAATATCGGCATCGATTTCGTAGGCTATACTTAAAATATCATAGTAGTATTTTTTTAGATCTTCATCATCACGTTGTTTTCGGTTTTGAAATTTAAATTTTAATTTACGCATTGGTTGTTTCCCGTTAAATTCTTTTTTAAATTGTTTTTAATTTTTTCCCAGTCGTTTTCCCTATTTTGTTCATTTTTTATATATTCATTATACCAAATATTAGCGGGTCCCTCTAGGAAACTCCCGAAATAAACAATTTTATATGTAGCTGTCCAACCATTACACGCAGCTGTTCTATCATATTGTGATAAGAAAGTTAAAGCAGAAGCCGAACTTGGATCAAACGTTGGTGGTGGTATTAATTTAGAGGTAGCTGGTTGTTTTGTTTCCGCAAAAGCATTTGATAAAGTAGTATTTTACATAATTTTGTTTGATGAATTAGTATGAGGTTTTTGAGGGGTTTGTAATTGCAGTTGATTTATTTGTAGTGTGGGTGATTCGGGTGTTTGTGTTATTAAGTTGGTTCTTTCAGCGTTTTGTGGCGTGTAAGTAGGGTTTGGTGTAATTGTTAATTGAGTAGAGTTAGAATGTGGTACCTGACATACTTTAGGTAATTTAAATGTAAAAATAGATGGAAATTGTCGGGGTAGACTACTGGACAAGAATGATTGGGGTGTGAAAGGATCTGTAGTAGTACTGCTGTGTTGCCCTGAAATCTTTTGAATTCGTTGCCCCCTAGATATTTTTGTTACATATTTGTTGAACGTTTGACTCCGAGCTCGATTTTTCTTGACTACGTGTTGACGACTTGTTTGTTCGTCACACATTTAAATTAATTAATACCACATAAACTACTTTGGGTCGATTAGAAAAAATTATACTTAGAAAAAAGAAAATTTGCACAAAATTCAATAAATCATCCCTGTTTTAAAATAATACGCTACCTATGTAAGTTGTGGTTCAATTAAAATATTTAAAACAAGCCAATAAAAAAATTAAATGTAAGTGAAAAAAAAAATTATAAAATAAGTGAATTGATCTACAATTGAGAGAAATCGGCGCCTCCACCATACATGTCACGCTCGATTTGGAAACGGTGTTTCCACTATCTATGTTGCATCGGTAATTTGTTAATTATTTATTTTAATTACTTTATTTTAATGCAATTTAATTATTTGAGCGTGACTGGGGGTAAGGTATTGAAATAATAATTGCAAGTTAGGAAACAATAACAACTTTATTATTTAAGATAATTTAGAGAATTTGAGTAAAGAAAACATTTACAAAAAGGATCTTCCTCTCAATTCAGATCAATACACTAAAAGAGCTAACAATCATCATCGCCCGGAGGTATTGAGTTTACTCAGAGTTTACCACCTGTTAATCTTTTAAGGGTAGACTTCCGAAAACAATTCCCGTTCACGCGCTAAACTTTTTGATGAACCAGTGATTATTTGTACATAGTTCAACATGGGTCATTCACTGGTTCTAGAAGTTTCTCTGGTTTAGCTGATTCAACTAAAAAACTGACAAAGTCCTTTTTGATGACTTCGCGAAGTTCAATAATTTTCCCAATAACAAGAGTTATCAAACTGACGTCAAATTATGCTTGTAAATAGATAATTGTTCTCACTTGCTGCCTCGTTGCTGCGAAATGCCTAATACGCTTATTTTGCAAGCAAATAAACTCGATGTCTGTTTTATGAATTTGAAAAGAATAGCAACGTTATAATTATGAAATGTTTAATTAAATTTAAATATGTTTTGAAGTCTAAAATGGTTTTTTGATTTTCTTTAAAACTTCACTGCGTGACAATAGTGTTAAGTAAGGACGAAAATAGTTCTTCAAGTAGCCAAGGAATATGGTTTAGAGATCAAGAAGCGAAAATGTCAATTTTTAAAGAAGAGAGTGGAATTTTTAGGATTTATTATAGAAAATGGGAGAGTACAACCGTCCAATGAAAACCCTCTGGTAATAAGTAAATTTCCAGACCCTACGACGACTAAACAAGTTCAATTCTTCTTGGGACTTACGGGGTATTTCCGAAAATTTTTTCCTTTTTATACTCTTATACCAAAGCCATGCAGCGACCTTTTGAGGAAAAGAAATTATTTTAAATTTGAATTAGAAGAAGAGCAGGCATTTATTAAACTAAAGGAATTATTAACTACCAAACCTATGTTAAGCGTATATAAACAAGGAAACGATATAGAACTACATACTGACGCCAGCCAGCACGGCTACGGAGTTTACTTATTGCAGTGATCAGATGGTGATAACAGATTTCATCCTATTTATTACATGAGCAAAAGAACAACACCTACGGGGGAAAAATATAGTAGCTACGAGCTGGAGGTTCTAGCTATTATTCATGCTGTTAAACAATATACAGTGTACGTGCTAGGTCAAAAATTTCGAATAGTGACAGACTGTGCCGCGTTTCAGCGTACAATGGAT